GTGGTGGGACCAGTTGTACCCCACAGTGTGTGGTGGGAGCAGTTGTACCCCACAGTGTGTGGTGGGACCAGTTGTACCCCAGTGTGTGGTGGGAGCAGTTGTACCCCAGTGTGTGGTGGGACCAGTTGTACCCCACAGTGTGTGGTGGGAGCAGCCACAGCTCCAGTGCAGGGGGCAGCTGGACCCGTCACGACCCCAGTGTGGCACCAGTCGTGTCCCTCACGTGTGGTGCAGTGGGACCAGCTGTGACCCCAGGGCAGTGACTGGGGGTCAGGGCAGTGCCCAGGAGGGCAGAGGGAGCAGCTGGGAGTGCAGAGGTGCCGCACGCCGGCACAGCCCCATAAAGCCACCGGAGCTTGGATTTTATATGGCAATAAAAGATAATGTCAGCTATAAAGTGCTGGAGCGGGGGAGGACAGAGGGGTGGGCAGCCCCCAGCTCCTCGGGGACACCCCAGCAGGGCAATTCCTCCTCGGGCCGAGCGGGTCCCCAGCTGCCCCAGGCTTGGGGACACCCCCGGCACTGTCACAGGCTGAGGTTAAGGTCAGTGCGTTAAAGCTGCTGCTTTGGGTTGTTGTTGTTGTTTTAATGGTTTTATTGGGTGATGCTGGGCCGGGCCTGGCAGGCCCTAATGAAGGAGATTGATGGCTTAATCGCCTGCAGCCATTACCGGGTAATTGAATGGTTGTGTACATATGATCCCACCGCCAATGCCGATGTGGCTGGCAGGAGAAGCTCTGGGGCTGGGGGGACACACGGAGCCCCCCCTGCACCCCCAGGGATGTGGTGTGGAGGGAGCAGAGCCCACGGCCTTGGGACCCCCATCCATCCCCGCGGTCCCGGCTGTGTTGGGTGTTCCTGGAGGTCTCCAGGTTCATCCAGTGGTGCCAGGTCACCCCATCCAGCTCAGCTCCAGCCAGGCCACTGTGTGCAGGTGCTTTAATGAGGCTTTTAATGAACAGCTCCCACCCACAGGGATGCACAGCACGAGGGTCCAGCACGGATGGCAGCCCCAAACCGGGGGTCACCCCTGACCACCCTCCCTGCGGGAATCCCCGAGGAGCAAACCTGGCAGAGCCCCAGGCAGGTCCCTGCACTGAGGTGTGAGTCAAACTACTCATTCTGTGTGTGACAACCAGGTGTTTTACAGTATTTGCTACCTGTGATCATCCATCAAAGCAATCGATAGCGTTCCTGCAGAGTTTTATTAATGATCTTGTCACCGGGCTGGTGCGGGGTGCCCGGGGTTGTCGAGAATGATAGATCATTAAGAGCTTTTGCTGCTATTTATTCTCCAGTGACCTTGTCTCTCTCCATTGTTGCTTGCTTAAGAGTTATGAATGCGAGACATGATAATTTGATATTGATCTATTTGGTAAGTTAAAAAATTTACTGCATCGTTGATGTTTTAACAAAGGATCGGCTCGGGCCCTCCCGCTGGTGCTCGGCTGCACACGTGTCCCTGTGCCCGAGGGGTGGGACACTGAGAGGTGGCTCTGAGCTCTGCCTGTCCCTGGTGTCCCCATCTCCTTCTGAGCCTGAAGCACCGAAATCCAGGAGATGCCACAATGGGCAGGGTGTTGGGATGGACAGATCCCTGTGCAGTGGGGTGGAGAAATCCTGTCCCCATCCACATCCCCTTCCCCTTTTTCCCAGCCCCACTCTCATCCCATCCCCTCCCTGCCTGCTCTGGCCAGCACCACGTGCCTGCCACGGTCCTCTCCATGTTCTCTACATGTCCTCCCAGATTTTTGGGGCTCTGGTGACCCTAACAAAGGAATCCCTTGTGTTCCTCCTGCCCTTCCTGGTGCTTCCAGAGCCTCATCAGCTGCTGGGAAAGGCTGGAGCTCCCTGTCACCCCCTCAGCACTGGGCAGGATCAGACCAGATGGACCCACTGGGGCTGGCAGCTCGTGTGTGGAGTCAAACAGGGACAAACTCCCATGGACAGAGGTGGGATTTACCAACAGTGCACTGGGATCACTCGGTGCTGGCAGATGCACTGGATAACACAGTATTTATGTGTGATTTTGAATTTATTTAGTTCTGCTGGGAAATCATTCCCTGTGAAATTGGTGAGGTCCTGGCACAGGGTGCCCAGAGCAGCTGTGGCTGCCCCTGGATCCCTGGAAGTGTCCCAGGCCAGGCTGGACAGGGCTTGGAGCAGCCTGGGACAGTGGGAGGTGTCCCTGCCCATGGCAGGGGGTGGAACATGATGGGCTTTAAGGTCCTTTCCAGCCTAAAACATTCTGGAATTCTGTGATTCCTACAAAGAGCTCCCACACAAGGAAGCCCTAACTGCAGCTCTGGCTCAGCTCAGCCAGCCAGGAAAAATCATATTTTATTGGACATTATTCAAGGACTAGGCTGCAGTGAGCCCAGACCTGCCCAGGACCATCCCTGTGGCTCCTCCTCAGGGGCAGAGCGGCCGTGGGTCAGGGCCAAGCCCCCCCAGGTGGGCACTAGGCTGGATAAAAGCGCTTCAGAAGCTCCTTTTTGTTGACTTTGCCCATCTGGTTGCGCGGGATCTCGTCCACCACGATCAGCTCTGTCGGGATGGTGTAGGGAGCCATGGTGTCCCTGCAACACCAAACCGCAGCTGTTCCAGGTGGGGCAGGACGGGCTGAGCCTCCCCGGGAGCACCCTCAGCCCCACCTGCGACCCCCGCCCACATCCCAGCAGCCCATTTAAGCTCAGCCCCTCTGGAGATGGGCGGTGGGGTGGTTTTTTTCCCCAGTCTGTCTCTGCAGGGAGCAGCTCATCCCTGGGGACTCCTCGGTGGCTGTCCCCGAGGGCAGGGACAGCAGCAGCCGTGTGAGGAGCGCAGGACCCCGCGTGTTCCTGTGCCGGTCCGGAGGGCACCGCGGGTGAGCCGCTCCCCCGGGAGCGTGCGGGGCATTTACCGGAGCTCATCAGCCCGGGGGCTCCTCCTGCCTTCTGCTGCCCCTGTGCCACCAACCTGGGGCCGTGCCCGGCTCCGGCAGCGCCCTGGCACTGACCCGAGTGTGAGATCCCGAGCGTGCCGAGCCCTCGGAGCCCCGGCCGGCCGCCTCCCCCCGCCGCCAGCAGCACCCGGCCAGATGGAGCCGCTAACTCGGGATGGCGCCGGGGAGCGCCACCGGAGGCGAGAGCCGCAAAATGAATCACTCTGAAGAGGGACATGTGTCTCCTGCCAGGGAGTGCGAGAACGGGGGCCAATTGAACCTAAGTGACAGAGAAAATAAAGGGGAGAGACAGGGAGAGGCGGGCGGGGGCCGGAGCACAGCCCGACCCTCCGGGGCTTTGCGTTCAAGGGCACCGCAGCAACGTCCCCTGTCACAGAGCTGGGGACAGCGATGGAAGGGACGTGCAGGGAAAGCTCTGGGAGAGGGGCAGGGGGAGTGCAGGGGGGCTCAGCAATGTCCCCTGCCTCACACCAGGGATCCCCAGAACAGCCTGCGGGATCCCCAAGGGTACAGGTGGGGGATGAAGGGATCTCCTTGTTCCTGCCAAGAAATTTAGGGATGAGCAGCCACCTTAAACATAGTGAGCATCTCTCCTGTGAGGAAAAGCTGAGAGAGCTGGGCTTGTTCAGATGGGAAAAGAGGAGACTTTTTATGAGAGACTTTATAGGGCCTGGAGTGCTTGGACAAGGGGGAGCGCCTTCAAACTGCCAGAGGGCAGGGATGGGTGGGATACTGGGAAGGGATTGTTCCCTGTCAGGGTGGGCAGGCCCTGGCACAGGTGCCCAGAGAAGCTGTGGCTGCCCCTGGATCCCTGGAAGTGCCCAAGGCCAGCTTGGATGGGGCTGGGAGCAGCCTGGGATGGTGAAAGGAGTCCCTGCCCATGGCAGGAGGTGGAACTGGATGAGCTTTAAGATCCCTTCCCACCTAAACATCTTCATGACTGTGATCCTATGACATGTCCCTGATGAAGACACTGCTGGCTTTGAGCCTGCTGTCCCTGTGTCCCTCCCCATGGGGGTCTCACCTGGCCCAGTCCTTCAGCTCCCTGATGGAGAGCATCTCGCCCTTGCGCAGCTTCACCACGGCGCTGACGCGCTGTCCCCACACCATGTCCGGGGGCCCGATCACCGCCACGTCTGCAGGGACAGCAGGGGCTGCACTCAGCAACCTCAGCAGCTCCACGTGGCCACAAGAGAGGTTCAGGTGTGAGGAGGAAAATGCCACGGGATGTCAGCACGGGAAAACACCGTGGGATTCTGTGCTGGCACAAGAGCAGAGCTTTTCACCATGGAAAAGGCAGGAAGCTCCAGGATTTCAGGATTTGGACTCAAGGGGGAGGAAAACGATGTAGAGAGTGGAAGTGGAAGATGAAGAGAAGTGGAGCTGGGAGCGCCACTTCTGACCCCTTGCACAGGGTCATGCACAAGGGCAGGGCAGATCTAATTACAGCCTCATTTCCAAAATCAGCCGAGCTGCTGCCGACTCAGCTCCGGCCCTGGGAGAGCAGGAGCTGTGGGATTTAAACATCCCCTCGTGGGAGGGGGGCTCCAGGCACGAGCCCTTGGGAGCCTGGTGCACCTGCTGAGGCAGGGCTGCCCCCAGAGCAGTGTCCCCTCTGGGCAGGGAGCAGGAGCACAGACCTGTGATGTGGGGGTGTGTGAGGAGGTGACGCTCCACCTCCAGCGCGCTGACTTTAAACCCTCCGTTCTTGATGATGTCCACGGAGGTGCGGCCCCTGATCCAGTACACTCCATCCTTGTACACTGCTGTGTCTCCTGGAAAACAAACAGCTCCATCAGAGGCTGTTCCCTCTGCCTTTCCTGGCGTGTGGCACCCTGGTGGTGCTGCAAGGGGGAATGGCTTCCCACTGCTACAGCAGGCGTAGATGGGATATTGGGAAGGAGCGTGGGGAGGCACAGCTTGCCCACAGCAGCTGTGGCTGCCCCATCCCTGGAAGTGTCCAAGGCCACGTTGGACAGGGCTTGGAGCCACCTGGAATAGTGGAAGGTGGAATGAGATGAGATTTTAGGGCCTTCCAAACGAAACCATCCTGTGATTCTGAAAAAAAAACCAAAAAAATGTGGGGAGTGACATTGGGAAAAGGAGTTTGTCCTGAGCAAGGTGTTTGGTCCAACCTGTCCTTCCCACAGGTGTGATTCCCATAATCAGCCCAGCCCAGGCACCACAGGATGTGCCAGCAGTGATGCTGTTTTCACAGCCCATTTCCAGCTCACCTCTGGCACTGTGGAGTTGGCATGAGGTGCAGCAAAGGCCCAGGGATTTACACTGCCAGGGCAAGGAAACACCAGAATCAGTCCTGAAAATCCAGGCTGTTCCCCAGAAGAGCTGTGTCCCTGCTCAGCTGGCACCTGCCAAAATCCTGAGCAGCTCAGCCAGAGGATGATTAATTGCTCCTGTATTTGCCTGCCCCTTGGCCCTCTGTGGATGTTGAAGGCAGTCTGGAATGTTCTGAAATTGGGGGAAAGTTTGAAACTGGGGCTCTCTGGGCGTTTGGCTGCTTGGAGTGGGAAGGAAGTTGTGGCTGCTGTGATGAAGTGCCTTCTGCACCCAGATGCTGTGGTGTGTGACTGACACACGATGGGACAGGGGACATTAATTAAACGGTGGCACTGGGAGAGGCAGGAGTGGCTCATTGACACGGACAAGACGGGGAGAGGAGAGAGAATTCAGCCCTGGCTCAGTGGCACCCAGTTCCCGTGTCATTCTTTGGGATGTCAGCACAGGAAAACAGCCACGTTTGCTTTTCCTCTGCCCTGATGGGGTGAATGATCCCTGGACAGTTCTCTCTGCTCCCCTCCCATCCCCGTGCTTCCCACAAGCTTCCCACACGGATCCCTCTGTTCCACCGGCAGCACAGCACAGCGAGGGGATGTCACATTATTATTGTGACTATTGTGAGCTCCTGGGACCAGCTCTGTAATTCCCCCCGTCTCTTCCTTTTCATCTCCTCTCCAGCATCAGGTCCTGGCTGTCACTTCCCGCGCTGACAGCCCGGAGTGCTCTGGGGGACGCCATCCGCTGAGGACAGCCCCGTTACCCTCTGCCCTGCACCATCTGCTTCCAGCCCAGCACATCAGGCAGCCTCTGCAGTGCCACATCCAGCATTCCCCGCTTCCCAAGCCAGCAGGGAATTCCCAGGGAGTGGGAGAACTCTGGGAACTCCCAGACCAAGGAGACCAGTCAAAAGGATGCTGAATTTGCTCAAGGACTGTCCCCAGCAGTGCTGAGTGTCACTTCCAAGGTGGTGCTGCCCCGAGAGCCACAGCAAGGACTGTGCCTGTCTTCCCAGGGCTCACAGGTGAGTCCCTTGTCCCATGAGCCCAGCAGCCCTTGTGCTGTGTTCCATCCATCCCAGCTGCTCCATCCAGCGGGATGCAGCTCACAACCACAACCAGCACTCCCTGCCCTCGGCCAGGGAGCTGCACCAGAAAGGGAATTTTGGCTGATTTGGTGTCTGTGACACCCCACCTCCTCCTCTGCCTGCCTGGGCCACTCCAGCCAGCTCCTGTCAGCACACAAAGCCGTGGCAGCAGAACCTCACGGCGCGTGGCTGACGCCGGAGCTGCTGAGGCCGTGGGATTATTGCTTCCCTGACAGCAGCCGGCACCGCTACCTTTGGATTTGTTTCAAGATGCTCAGTGGGCATCTGTTCTGTGAAATGTTAAAGGCTCTGCTGAGCTGCATGTTGAGCAGGCTCTGCGCCGGCGGGGGCTGCCCTTTGCTGGAGTTACAGGCGGTTATAGATACATTTATCCAGTTAAAAGCATAGAATTAGGGAAAGGTTTGGGTTGGAAGGACCTTAAACCCATCCAGTGCCACCCCCTGCCATGGAAGGGACACCTTCCACTGTCCCAGGCTGCTCCAAGCCCTGTCCAACCTGGCCTTGGACACTTCCAGGGATGCAGGGGCAGCCAGAGCTGCTCTGGACAACCTGTTCCCACCCCTCACCACCCTCCCAGCGAGATGCAGGAGACACGTGCAATGGAGACCAACATTTCCCTACTCAAACTGCAGAGATTTCTGCCATGAGGTTCTTCAAGTTGCAAAATCCTCACTGCAAACACAAAAAGGCCCTTGGGACTCTGCTGTAGTTTGTGCACCTCCTTCACTGAGTGCTGAGACCTTGTGGGGACCGACAGGCTGCCCAAGCTGCTTCCCAGGATGTGGAGAACAAGAGCCCCTTTGCTCCTCGAGCTGAGCTGCAGGATCAAGCCCTCACCTGTGTCAACACCCTCACCCACGGGGCAGTTTGTTCCTGGCAAACACAGCACAATTCCCACATCAAAGCTGCAACCAACTATTGACCTAGGGAACACTTTGGCTCGAGAAAAGCAACGCTGAGTGGCTTTGGGGAGCTCTGAGATAGCTGAAGTATGCATAAAAAAAGACTTTTTAGGTAATTCAAGTGACTTCAGCCTGGTCTAGATAGAGGCTCAGGAATGTTCTAGGATCTGCTGGACAAACAGGGATAGTGTTGGCCTCGCACTGGGGCTCTGTGAGTCCAAGAGTTCAACCCTGCACACAGGTGATGAGGAGAGGTCAGCACCCCGGAGCTGCCCCCAGGAGGAGCCCACCCCAGGCACACCAGCCCTGCTCTGGGGGACAGATGTCACTGGGAAGCCTGGGAGGCTGTTTGGTAACAGGTGTCACCAGCTTGGTGGCAGTGACAGCGCGGCTGCGACGTGCGAGCCGAGATCTGGCACGCGGAGCCGCGCTGAGCTGCAAACTGTCCCACGGCACTCCTGGAGCTGCTGCCTCACCCCACGTTATTCCTGCACCCACTGCTCTGTGCTCAGAGCTCCAGAGGGGAGCTCCAGGTGTTTCCCTGCTCAGAGGGGATGGGAGGAAGGACAGCACGGCCACCTGAGGACGTGCACTCCCAGCTTTGAAACCAAATGCCACCAGCAGAGCCCGGGCCAGCAGCATCATTCCCAGGGGATTTGGCTCTTTGCAGCTGTGATGTTCCCCCCCATGCCTGTCACAGCTCCAGCAGACCAAGTGCTGCTCAGCAGAAAATACCAAGAAACAGCAAATCTCCCCTTTTGAAAGGCAAATGATTTTGCTGATTATTTCAGCCTCCTGCTCTGAAGGCTGTTAATGCTCTAGTCAGGAGCTCCAGGGGCCGGAGCGGTGCTGGGAATGCTGGGGGGCTCTTCCCTGCCAGCAGCAGGATGTGGTTGGAGCACTTTCAAACATTAATTAGACCTTTTTGCTGTTAATGAATCACTCCTGATTTTTGCAAACTCTTGGCTTTCAAATGCTCCACGCAGAGCTCAGCCCAGTGCTCCTCAGAGCGGGGACAGAGAGCAGGAATGTGTCACAGCCACTTTTCCAGGTGACACGGACCTGCAGGGACACAGAAGAGCTCCTCTGGGGACAGTCACCACGTGCCACCCACGGGCAGCCAGCAGAGCTCCTTCAGACCACAAAGTGCACCTTGCTCTTTTGGGAGCCTTTATGGTTTGTTTTTCCCAAACTCCAGGAGGAATTCCCTGCTGTCAGCTGTTCTCCTGCCACGATGATCCCTCATTTCCAGAGGGAAGAGCCGGAGCACTGCACTCACCCTCCTGCATTCCTCTGGAATTGCTGCTCTCACCAAGTGAGTGTGTGGGGGAACTAGCAAGCTCGCAGCTGGAAAACCCCCAGGAAGCTTGCAGGAAGGCAGTTGGAATAATCAGTCTTTGCCCTTCTCTGGTGCCTTTCAGCAGAGGATCTCCAAGCACACTGACCCAGAGGCTAATCAGGCAGAAAGGGAACAGCTGGCAGGACAGCACTGGGATGTGAATGGCCTCGGTGGGATCAGGAGTGGCCTCACCCACCATGGAGCAATGGGCAGGAGGTTCTGGATCTCTGCTCTACCCTGGCATTAACTCCTACCTGCCTCCCACTTCCCTGAAATCACTGTTGATGCTGCTGGTCCATCAGGCTGAGGCAGAGCTCACCCTCTGGCAGAGACACACCTCGCTGATTATGATTGTGATTTATTTTCCAGGTAGGATTGGTCCAACAGCCTGGGCAGGTGATGAAGAGCCTGAACCCTGGTCCTGCTCCTCACCACCTGGGAGAGCAGAGCCAAAATCCAGGAGCTCAAACCCCCTTTGCCAGGTGAGGATTTTGTGGGAGCAAGTCTCCAACCCCAGCACCCACATTTGGATGGGACACGCAGGGGCCCAACCAGGGCTTGTGATGGTCCCCTGACCACTCAGGGGCAGCTGTGGGGCCCCACCTGGCAGGAAGGTCCTCCTCCATCCTCCTTCTTTCAGCACAGTTTTCCTGCCTGCAGATCAGCTCCAGCAGCACACCATGGAAATGCTCCTCCACAGGCTTTGGAGTTCTGCAGCCACAAGCTCCATGTGCCCATCACATTTCTTGTGTGCTTTCAGGTTCCCCTGCTCCTTCCAGGGCAGTTCAGTGTCTCACCACTCTCTTAAACCCATGGGAATGACTTTGTGCAGGTAGCACAGGCACAGTGGGGCTGGGAAGCTGCTGAGTGTGGCACAGCAGTGACATTCCTGTGGTCACTCTGCCTCTCTTCCCGTCCCTCTGGGCACAAGAGCTCCCTGTGCAGCTCCCCAGCCCAACGCTGTAAGAAATGGTTTCTTCCCATTCCCAGGGGCTCCTGTGCTGGAGAAAAGCCACGTGGGGTGGATAAATCATTATAAGGCAAGTGCTAAAGGCTTTTTATAGGAATTAGATAATCCATCCCCTCTGTGGCCGTGCCGTGGGATGGGCGGCCAAGCGCTGCCTCTCCGTC